TATGAGAACCAAGAAGTTTGTTAAATTTGAATTAGTAGACTATCCTCACAATAAGACAATGAAGTATTGATAATATAGTCAGAAGAAGATTTATTGGAAATAGTCTTATCCCAAAAGCTGGTTGTGGTTATATTTAATAATAAATAATGGTACTAATATTGTTTTTCTCATGTATCATATTTTATATTTCTTGAATTATTTTATTACTTAAAAGTTCTAAGAATACTTGAATAAATTGGAAAATTTAAAAAAAAAAGTACTATAAAATAAATTAATAAGATTACAAATCTATCATGATTTATTTTTGTAGTAATTAACTTTTATGATACTATATAATGAGTAATTTCAAAAACTATTCATTGTTCAACTAACTTTTTCGCTTCCTCTTAATTGAAATTGCTAATTTTGGATTACATTCAAAAAAGGTTACTATCAGATTTAGAAAATATTATAATTTTATTCGCTTCTCTATTATGATTATATTTAGATTTGCCATTTCAATAATAATCTAATTTGAATCAATAAAATTTTATAGTCTATTAAGCTCAATCTAAATCAGATACCTAATAAATTAATAGTACTCATTTATAAACTACCAAAGTGGATTCATTAATTTTCTACAATATGATATTAAGATCGTTTATATACATTCTTTCTGAAAATACTTAAAATTACTATAGTTTTTCTATTTATAGAATTTATTTAAAAGGAGATGTAAAATAAAATAAATCATAGATAATATCTAATTGCTTTATAAACTATTAATTCAATTTATGTGAACAAACAATAGTAGGTGTGATTTGCTAAAATCTTTTTCACTTTAAATATAATTTTACACAAACTTTAGATGTAGGCAGATTAAAAATGTAAGTTAAATACTCTAATTTTACTAGGATCTAAATAATATTAAATTTGAGATGTTAATTCATCTTGTTTGTCACATATGCCTCCTGAAAAATAGTAAAAATCAAATTTAAGGTTTTGGCAAATGATTTATTAATTATTTTTTTTCCTTTGATTTGAGATAATAAAATTATTTTAAGAATTCCAATAAAGAGTTTGCAATAAGGGAAATTGTTAAACATCAAAATGAAGAGCTGGCAAAGATACAAAAAAGAAATAGAAGTACTTTAAAAATTTTGAGGTGTGTTTGGAAAAAAAATTACTTTCTATTAAATAAATAAATTTCGAAAATGATTATAGAAAATATTCGGCTGATAAAAACGAATAAAAAAAATTTGAAATTATGAATGCTATAAATATATATATAGTCAATCATGAGATATAAATAAATTAACAATTTTAGATACAATAATGATTAAAAAATATTATGGCAAGCTTAAATCGTATTTGAAAGTGAATATAGTTCTTGTAAAAATACATTGGGACGAAAAATTAAATAATTTTAAGCTCATTTTAATTTTTTTCATAATTTTTTTTTAATGAGTTTCTTTATGCATTAATCTATTTTTTTATTGAGATTTGATTAATGGATTAATAAAATAATTGAGAATTAGATTAATTTCCTTATATTCTAATTTTCTAAAATTATTTAGAGAAACTAATATTTACAATTTTTTCGATATTTTTTTATATTGATTTCAAAAAATAATCTTTCTTCATTTAACTGAAAAATTATTTAAAATTATGATGATTGTTTAATCTTAATTTTAGTATTTAATGATTTTAACTTAATTATGTAAAGAGAGATTAGATTTTCTTTATTACTTTACATAATTAGTACAATACTTAAAAGTAAAGCTTCATTATTAATATTAATAGACTATTTCTACAGCTTCATGATTAGATTTCTTTTAGATTAAAATTAACTATTATATTACATATTATGTTAATTAAAATAATAGAAAATTATTGAAGTTAAAATTAAAAATTAAATTAATATAATTACAAATGTTCCTATTGTTATATAAATTTTTAAAAATAAATAATTCTCATAAAAATTCATTTTTTAAATTGCTTATAAGCAACATATCCACCTCCTATTGCTGCACCAACTCCTACAGCTGGTAATGCAATGGCTCCTAATCCTGACATTGCTACTCCTTAAGCTATAGCAAATGCACTTCCACCTGCTACACTACCAATACTTGCTTATGTAGCTGCAGCAAGACTTCCTGCGACTGGCCCAACCGACGAGAAACCATAAATTGCCAATCCAGCTTTAGTCAAAACAGTTCCTGTTCCTGCTACAATTCCTGTTAAATAAGTTCCTTATTTCAAATTTTACCAGAAACCAGGCTTCTTGGCTTGTTCTTACTCTTATTATTATTAATCCATATTTTAATTAATATTATTATCAATCAATATTTATGAAGTTTATAAATCAAGAAGCTTCACAAAATTTCATCATAACATTTCAGAATTTAATATCATATTATTTATTTCTATTAAGTTCTTAGATTATTAATAATTGCAAGTTCGAAACCTGAACCTACTATTTTTTTCTACACTAAATTGTAATAAAATTTTCATTTTGAGTATTTTTAAATGAAACATCAATAATAGTTTATGTGAAAGATTCAAGCTTAATTAAGGTATAATGAAATTAATTCACACAGTATTTTAATTGCAAAACTTTGAATAGCAGAACAATCTTATATTAATGATGTTATCAGATATATATAGAAAAACATTTAAATTGCCACTATTCTTTAGGTTATTTTTGATTTTCGTAGATAATTAGATATCTAATACTTCGAAATATTTTAGATGTAATAAATTATTATTAAACAACTTAAGGATTTTTTTAAGTTAAGAATGACTGAATATATAATAAATAATATATTATTGGTAATATATAATAATTGTTATATTAAATTTTCAATATTTTCAAAAATGATAATGGCCTTAAATTTTCTTAATTAAGTTAATTATGTTGATCTATTAATACTGTGATATACTAATTTGATATGCCCTTCAAGTATGGATAATTGTTAACTACGCTAAAATATATAACAATCTATAAATTGATTTAAATAATCATTGATATAATTTATTTCAATCGCCATAATATTACTCACCACTAATTTAATAATTTAATATATGAGTAATACGTTTAAATGAATCCTGCATTCAACTCCCCTGACTCTCTAAACATCTCCAACCATTTTCCAATTTTCTTTCCATTTTTATAATGACCATAAAATATAACTTAATTAAATCTAATTTAATTTTAATTAAATTTACTCTCCAAAATCCTCACTTAAATCTGTCCACTCTCCTATTTTAATATCTCCTTTATTTTCATCATAATTTCCACCTCCTCTAAATATTTCAGATATTTTAATACATCAATTCTCTACAAAACAAAGAACACCATTTACCAATTTTTTTATTATTTAAATACTCACCAGTATATAGAATTTAACTATTACTAATTTATGGTATATCTAATTTAAATACTAATAAAATTTTTCACACAACTCTATCCATTTCCCATATTTTAATTATTTTTCTTTTTGATATGATCCACCACCTCTAAATTTAATTAAAATACAGTTCTTACATTAGATTTTCTATATAATAAGTATCCCATTTACCAACTTTTTGGCCAAAGTTATATTCACCATGATAGGTGATTAAGCAATTTCTAAAAATTTAAAATTTAATTACTCCCAATTATAATCTATCCATTATCCATTTTTTTATTCTCTCTGCTAAGATTAATCATATTATCCACCTCCACTAAAGTTTATGAAATTAATTATTTTACATCTTTTCAAACGGCTGATTCCAACTAAATCTACAATAGGTATCCCACTATCCAAATTTATTACCATTTTTATATTCACCTCTATAAATAACTTAACAATTTCTAATTATAGAGTTTAATCATTCTAATAAATCAATACTTCGAAAAATGATCACATAAATCTATCCATCTACCGCCCTTTAAACCTTAAACATCATATACTCCACCTCCACTAATTAAATTTTACTAAATATTTATTACACCAATTCATATTTTTTTATTCCTTCAATATCAAAAAATATATCCCAAATACCAACTTTTTTCTCATTCTTATATTCACCTATATAGATCACCTAACTTTAACTAAATGATTATAATAATAAGTTTATTTACTTATAAAATTTTTAGCTTAATTATATCCATTTTCTGTTTTTTTCACCTTACTCTGTAAAAAATCCTCCCCCACTAAATAATTTTTAATAAATCATTAATACATCAGTTTATCTTAATATTTATATTACCAAAATCCTCTTCTAAGATCATTGAGATATTCTCCTTATTCATAAACTTAAGCTGATCTACATTAATTAATTTTTAAAGTTTACTAAAAGTAATTATTGAATAATTCTTGCCACTAACCTTCTTTTAAACCATCTTGAGAGTAATACCCACCAACAGAATTTAAAAGTTTTCCTTTCCAAGTTGCTATCCATTTACCAACTTTTGTTTGATTATTTCTATAATTTCCTATCCAATAAAGATTTTCTATTTGTTCTAAATTTATCATTATTTCTGGTTTCTTTTTCCCATCTTTAATTTTATCACTTATTAATATTCTAATACTATATACATTCTTAAAGTTTATCCTTCTTATGAGATGTACTTAATTTCTTTATTATCAATATATATTATATATAGATTTGTTTAATGCGAAATTGGGTTCTAAAACCTATAATCCCACCTTAAAATTTCAATCTCTTCAGTTCCTTCCTGCCATTTAAAATCCTCCATTAAGATTTTATATGTTAATTATTTTATAATTTTTGGCTTGATTAATCCTGTTTGTTTTTATTTTCTCTATAAAATGAAACCTTTTAAAATTTTTCTTAACGAAATTGAATGGTTACTTACATAGTAGTATGCCGTAAAATAATTTAATTTCAATCTATTTGCAATATTTACAAGTATATGTTTATTATTTTATGATGAGGTGCAATTAGTATTAAAATAAACTTTTTTATATGATTATGATATAATTTTGATGAATTTAGAAATTTATTTGTTAATAATCAAGATATTATAAATTCGTTGAATTAATTATAGCGTTTCGAATATATCAAAAAATTATTGATATGAATAGTCATATATTTAAGAATTATTATAGAAAAATATCGAAAACCAAAAGAGTTAAAATATCAAAAGATTTTGAATTAATCATAAAAATATAACATTTCTTTATAATATTTAAATAAGAAATTCAAATAAATTCAATATTTTAATATAAAAAATTATCAATAACTTTATCACAATATACTTTTATACTAATGTTAATAGAATTAGTTAGGTATAAATGATATTGATCTGATCTTTTAAAAAATAAAATGTATTTTAATAATTAAAGTGGACTTTAGTGCTTAAATTAGTTTATAAGTCTGCTCTCTTAAATAAAAAATTAGCAACAAATTCAATAAAAATAAGAAAATCGACTTAACATCTAGTAAGAAGGTCTCTTTGAATCTGATGATTATCATGCAAATTTAAAAGATTAATAAGAGATTTGTCATAGCTCTGAAATAAATTAATATATAGATTTGATTGGATAAAGTGGTGAGATAATTAAATTGATAGAAGAGTTGAATTATAAAGCAAACTAATTAAAAAATAAATTTGCCTAAAGATCCAATGTTAATTCTAATGTTAATTCCAATTAGGAAAGCAACATTTCCAAATAAGAGAACCTGAGCATAAATTCTAAAATAAGTTCTTTATCTTAATAATAAAACAATAAAGAGGAAAAGAGTTTTTCAATTATCGTTGAAGATTTGCAATCTTATATTATAAATTAGTTGGAACAAAAAAATCCTAATTTATTACAAGTATTGAATAAAAAGGAAGAATAATTTAATTATAATAATTAATTTGTAAATAGTTTAAATGAATTTTTATAAGAGTGGATGTAAAAAGTATAAAATAGATTTGAAATTGTAGAAAAGTAAAAATTGAAGTTAGAATTAATTTCTCAAAAAAGAGAAGTATAAAACATAGAAAATAGCGATTAAATAAATGAATAAAAGTAACTTGATACTTACAATTTTAATCGTCCTACTTCTAAAGAAATTGAAATAAAATAAGTAGAAAGATGTTAAACGATGTGTTTTAATAAGAATGATTCTTTAATAGCTACATCAATAGGATAATAAATATAATTATGGACTTTTTCAAATGGTTAAATGTTAAAGATTGGTGATCCTTTAAATGGTCATAAGGGTTCTGTTACTTATATTATATTTAGTAAAAGGAGTGAAAACGATTTTATTTCAGGAGCAGTATCAGGATAAAATACAATTATAATGTGGATATATAGAAAAGATAAATGGAATTAAATAGAACCAAATAAATCAGAAAAAGGAAGTATTACATCTATGATATTAAATCAATATAATGATAAATTATTTACTTGCGATTAGCAAGGCTTTATCAAAATGTGGCATGTCAGTTTCTCTTAAGGGGTATTTGAATTGGGATATGAATTTAAGTAATAACTAAATCCAATATGGGGAATCAGTCTAAATCAATCATAAACATATTTAATCGCTTGTGGAGACAGTAATAAATTAATATTATGGGAAAAGAAATCAGAATAAAATTGGGTTATTTCATAAGAAATTAAAATAAGATCTTAAGTAAATAGAGTTAAATTTACAAATAATCATGAATTTATTTGTAGCACACAATAGGAAGGCTATCTATATGAATACAAATTAAAAAAGGGGAGGAACTATTTTTAGGAATCAAATAAAATATAATTAAATTTTGAAGAATAAGATTAATTTGGCTTTCCTCTCAAATTTATATAAAATATATACTTTGCTAAGCATAATAAATACTTTTATATTCTAAGATCTCATTCTAAAAAAATTGAAATCTTGAATACTTTAACTTTTTCAGATATGAATCTTTTTGGCACTTTATCAAATGATAAAAAGAAGCTTCTGATTTGGAATGATGGATCCTTTCGTTTAAAGTAATTGAAATATTGATATCAATATTTAAAATTATTATTATTTTAAAACAATAATACTTTAATTCTAATAAGATATATTAAAATTTTTATACTGAGTTTTTTAATTTATCTCATTTTATTAAGATTTTAATTATAAAGCATATTAAGAAATAATGAATTGTAATTATCAAAAAAATTAATAATATGAGCATGAATCTTTAATTTAAATTTAAAACTGTAAATTTTATTTTACAAAACATTATTTATATTAGGCTTACGCTTAATTTTAAATTGTATGAGTACATTAATTAAATTATTGATTATTTATATTTTTAATTATAAGTTTAATACAAAAAAAGAATATTGAGATCAAATATGAAAGGAAAATTTTGTAATACTGATTTTCATATAGAAATTACGATGATATTTAAAAAATATATTATGATAAAATAATAATAAACTAATAGTTAAACAAATTAAACTTACAAATTTACTTTTATAATTAGATTCATAAAATGAATAAAAATATGTTTATATAAAATAATAATAAATTATCATATTATTAACAATATATTAATATGATTTGATAATAAATAAATATATTATTTTAATTTTTACTTAAAAATATATGCTTAAAATAAACCATAAATAAATTATCCTTTTCAAATATTAAAGTTAGAGCAATTATTCTTTTCATATCATATTATTATAAAATGTTTAATATTTAAAGTTAAAGATTTTGTTACATATCATAATAATGTTTTTAGAAGAAAATTTTTTTATCGACTTATTATTCTGAAAGATAATGACTTAAAACTGATCAAGTAAATTTATTGTCATCATATGTATATTGAGAATATTAAAATTGATTTTAATTAAGTGATATTTTATAAATTTTTATTAAAAAATAAGAGGGTGCAACTATTAAATATCCTCCTTATTGGGAGATAATTTTAACTATTAGAATGCTGATTAAATTAATTGTTTAAGAATATTTATTTACTCCCTAAAATAGAATAATAAAGAAAATTCTTTGTTAATTTATTCATAATTTAATATTGGTTAGCACACTATATAATCTCATTTTGATTTTTTCATAACACATTTCAATTCTTCAAAATATCTCTTTAATGTGTGACGATTAGTTTAGTAAAAATCAAAATCATACTCTGTTTTCTCAATAGCTTTTTCAAATGTAGCTCCTTTCATTAGTTTGTCAAGAACTACAATCATAATTTTAATTAGACTACTTTAGTGTAATATAATTACTTAATATTATAATGATAGATTCTTAATCTCTCTAATCTGTAAACTAACGCAAAATATTCATGATATCCTAAGGATTTCTCAAAAAGTTATTTTTCAAGGTCTTCTATTTTTTCTGGGAATTTATTATTTTCTTTTTCAAGTATAATAAGAGCTAAAGATAATCCTTTCCTTTCTAATTAATTATATATTACCAATAAACTAATTTACAGAAAATAATTAATTCATAAGGCGGCTTTATAAATTTAAGTTTAAATCGTTTATATTTATCTAATTTAAATTGATGTGCTAGCCAAATGGCTTACTTTTGATTAAAATATTCAAAATATTCAACTCTCAAAAAGTGCTATTAAATTTATTGTATTCTAAAGCCATTCCATATTTGAGGATCATCATTCTATTTGATAGTTGGCTATAACAAAAATAAACGTGAGATCCTTTTTCAAAATAATCTCTTGTTCTCATTAGTAGATTTTAAAAATTCTCTTTCTCCCAAACATTTTTATAATAATCGCAGTTTCGATCTATAGGCTTCGATAATAATAATTCAACAGTTGGAATGATTTTGATTGGTTTTTGGTCAATTTTTTAGGCAAAAAAATTAATTTTTTTTTAAGATAGGATTTTTCTTGACAACATTATTAAATGTGTACCAATTATCTAAATATTGAGTACAAATTGTTTTGATTTTTTCAAAAACTTATCTAGCTTAAAAAGAAGATATTTTTTCATCAAAATAATCTTTTATATTTGTATCCAAGACATTGAAAATATACCCTAAAAACAAGTAGAAAAATTATCACCAAAATCAAGATTTTAAAATAAGATTGCTATAGAATCAATAGCTAATTAGAAAACATCTCTTTAAATATTGAATTTTATATTAAACTCTTTAGTCATTTTTGTGTATAATTCTTATTATTTTTAAACTTAGGGTATATTTCTTAAGTTTTCTTAATATTCTAAAGTAGTTTTTTTTGTAAATCCATCAAAATCAAATTCTTAATATTCATTATAATCTCCAGTAATATATTCAGAATCGCTAATATCATCCTCTGAATGTTGTGAATTATCAAAAGAATCTACAGACAATTCATCATCTTCATTCTGTTCTTTAATTAATTTTTAAGTCATAAACTCATAACCATACTTTGTACTTCCATCATTTTATTGAAGATCGTAACAAACATCAGCACTCTCATGATTAAATAATTCACAAAATGGTACCATAGTAACATACTTCAGACCCTGACCTCCAAAGCATCTTGTAACAATGCTTGTGTGAATCCAAATAATATTTTCTAATGTTACAATTCCTGGTTTGAAGAGAGAAGGGAATTTACGTGCAATATATTAAATAGTTTAAAATGTGGCAATAAGATATCCATTCTTTGTTTTAGCATGCTTTGCCATTTATTTATCTTATAACAATTCTAAATCTTCTTATTTCCAATAGACTGCATTTATCTATATCTTTAGGAAAATTATTAATAAGTAGATGCCATTTTGATAAAGGACCTTTTTAATATTCATAAAGCAAATATGTTAGTATTATATTATATTACCATGAAGGCATAAATTGTGGGCTAAAAATTTATAGAAATTCTAGAAATGGTTTAAAATACCCAGGCCTTATTGGTATTTTAACATTAGTAATTAAGCAACTGAAATTATTGTACCAAATGACAATCTTGTCACTCTTCCAAGAGAGACTCTTCTAACTACTAGACAGTCATTTGACTCCCCTTTAAAACCTATGTTTTTTGTTTAAAAAATTGCATATTTAACTTTGTTAATCACAGCTCCTTATTAATTCAGAGATTCAATAAAATCTTCTATTAATTTTGGAGTTTCAGGTATTATTGCATCGGGATCAGCTTTATTCATTCCCTTAAGCTTTTTAAATCGTTTTCCAATACTATACCTTTTCATTATTAATTTATCAATTAAATAATAGAAAAATTTGACTTTAAAAATTAAACAAACAAATTAAATTGCAGAATAAGTATTTTTTTATTCATATCATTTTTTATTTTGATATCCTTCTTTATTTATAATAAAAATAAATTAAAATTATTGAAATGATATCAAAAAGTAAATGAATTTGTCTTTAAAACAAATTATATAAAAAATATTTAGATGTTTAAGTTTAACAATATTCTAATTTTATAAATCAAAACTAAATAGGTCTAATAAAAATATTTTCTACCAAAGTATTCAATTGAAATAGGCTCTTATGTTGCTCTCAATTTTATGAAAACAAATAGTTAAATTTAATAATTTAATCTTGAAATCAACATTCCAACCTTAACTTTTTTATTCTTCTGATTCAAAAGTATTTGGAGATATTATTTTTCTAAGATTAATAATTTGCGATATTCTATTTTTAATTAATTTGTTTTAAATAATCAAAAATAAATAGTGAAATGATAAGGTAGACATGGAATTTCTTATTACTAAAATCATATATTTAGTAAATAAATTTATTAACAAGAATTTAAATCAAATTTAGTCTATGTAATAAAAAAGTAATACAATATCTATTTACTTTCTCAAAAGTCAATTACAATGTTATTTATTATTGAATAATTCACTATATATTACAAAAATTTATTTTTTATATATAATCAACTTTCAATAATTAAGTGCATTGATAACAATAAGTTCTTTATTAAACTTCAGGCATATGCTAAAACTTTGCCTGAGAAGAATGTAAATTAAATAAAACTTAATAGTAAGTTATTGTTAATATAAATACAAAAATTTTATTAATTAAAATAATTAGAACTATTTATTATCACATACTATATATTAATTATGCTTATCTTGAAATAATTTGTAAACTGTAAAGTGTTACAGTGTAGAAGTTGAGATGAAATCAATTATATTATTGAAAATATATATACTTCCAATGTTTTTTACTAAATCTATCAAATATCGATATTATTTTTTGAAGCTTATTATTTTGGTTTGATTATTTGTTGTAAGCTTTTCTAGATATCTGAAAGAAAATAATAAAAACTCAAAAATTCATCCTAAAATCAAAGAAGATTTAAAAATTAGGGACTTCAAATGCAGAAATAAGAAAAAAAGAAATTCTCATTTTAAAAACGAACTTTAAGGCCTATAATATACTAAAAAGGTATCAAATACTTTATAATTATAAAAACAAAACAAACTATGGATATAATAGAGCCAAGAAGAATTTAAACTGTTTAAAAGACTTAACAAAGGGATAGATGGACTTTTGAGGAAGATAATCTTCTATGTTAAGCTATGTAGTTCCATTTGGTGAGAAGCATACCGATATTACTGATTTACTATGGCCATCTAATTTTGCCTTTTATTATCCGGTCTTAATATCCCATAAACAAATAGACTTATCGCTAATACCAGATGCTAATGTTGTACCATCAAGAGAAAAACAGACAGATTTTACAGCACTACTGTGACCTTTAAGTAGAATAAATTAATTTATTTTTAAATTATTCCATACACAATTAAACAATAAAGCTCATATTTTTTGCAAGATTAATTGAATATCTTTATATATCAACAATATTTATAGATTTTCCAAAATTTTTTATTTATTTCAAATAGTATTAATCAATAAATTAACTATAAAAGTCAAAACTTGTTAAATTTTATTCTGTTAATGCCTCCCAAACTAAAGATCTGAGGCTATCATTTTCGATCTTCACTTTATTAAATGTATTATTTTGAAAGAGAAGTTCAGAGTCAATTATCTTTAAAATTATGTTATTCAATCCTTTGAATTCTTGAGAGATTTAAAGTTGATAAGGAATAGAATTCTCTTCCATTCTATTCCAAACTTTAAGAGTAACTTTTTGGTTATAATCACTTTCTTCCAAGTTTTATATATCTGTTTGGGTAACTTCTAAAATATCATTTTAAATTTTTTTGTTCTAAAGCTATTGATACATCTGAATCAAATATTTCCTTTTCAAGAATGCTTTAAACATTTTTTAGAAATTATTGATAAAGTTTTATTTCATTCGAATTTTCTCAGACGCTTTAATCAACATCGAAGACAACACTTAAACTATGATTTCCATCATGAATGGAGTTTCAATTAATCTCTTTAAATTTATCTAATTCATAATTTCTTCATACTTTTCTATGCTCCATAACTTTTATAAACTTGTACTAAGACTTTTAAGAGCATCATCGCTTTTTAAAGCAATAAACTCGACTTACCTCAAAAACCTAAAATGCTTTCTATTTATTTTTAATTCAAAAGAGCATCAGATTTCTACTTTGAGTCATTAAATTTCACCAATTAATCCAATATTTTCTGCCAGCATAGTTCAAACATACTAAAGTCTAAACTTCCTCTTTTTATTTCTATTTACTATTCATATATTTCAAAAATCAATATTTTAATACTACACATTTTAAATTTTAGTAGATATTCCTTTGTTTATTCCTCATCAAATTTTAGAAGCTAAATTTCTTAAAATTTATTTTTTTCTTCGGATGCAAACCAATCTCTATAATCAATATTTGTGAAAATTTCACTTCTTGTGGTAAAAATAACTAGTGGGTCTGACCAATTTACTTCAATTTAGTTTGTTTTGTCTAGATTTTTCTAAATATTCTCTGATTTCATCTCATCATAACCATCCGTTATTAATAAAAACCAAAATTCCTTCTTTTTCAACTTTTCTTTTCACTCTTTCAATTGGATATCATCAAAACCATAATCTTCTTAACAAAGTGTCTCCTCAACTGCTTAAAAAAGTGGATCTTTTAAAGAAGGTAGTGAAATATAAATAGGTATGAGCACTTGATTGCTGATTTTTTAATTTCTCTCATATATTTTCCAAATAAATTCTTCTATTTTTTTGGCAGTTGTACTTTTTCCTGATCTAGTTATTCCATGAATTAGCATTACTGTTTTTTCACCTGTTTGTCCTTTTAATAAAAACTCCATCACTTCAGCTTATATATCATCAGATTAGTTTAATTTTATCAAATTAATTTATTCTTTTTTTCCTTTCTAAAAAGTTTTTAAAGGCACATAGATTGACTTAACATTTCTATAAGCCGATTCTTTCAATACTTTGCATTTTCTAATTTCAAGTAGTTATTCAATTGAATTTCCTCTCTCAATTTTCGTGCTTTCGAGTTAATCGTTCAATTTTTTGATTTCCCCTCTATTTTTGATTAATTTTTTATGATATAATTAATAAAATAAGTATTCAAACTAAGTATTAACCCATTTCATTAGTAAACCCTATCGATTAATCTAATTGCTAAATTGTTTTATCCAATTCTAAGAGCTGCAAATTACGTTTGTTAAGGTTGGTCTCATTAGAAATTTATTATTACAATTAATCAATTCTCATTAACATTTATTCCATTTCTTCTGTAATCGCACTTTAATGCGTCTACCAATCTTTTTTCAAAATCTGGGTTTATATGATTATTAAATTTTCATTTTTTAACAGATTTCTAACTCTCTCATCTTTTTCTGAAACCCAAAATTAGATCAAAGTTTTTGAGCAAAATGAAATAATTGTATCTGTGAAGCAATCAGTGGAGATTTAAATTAAAGTTATTACTAGACCCTATTTCATTTTCCATACCTCGTTAGATTTTTCTTATTGCTCTTCCTCCTACTTCTCAAATAAGAAAAGTTTTTGAAAAAATAAAATCAATAATTCTTAATCTATAAATACGTTTGAAATGTAACTTATCTCTGCTAATTGTTCATATAAATCTGTAGGAAACCAATTTAGAGAAGCCGAAATATTAGGTATTTATTTTTTTGTTGAAGATAAAAAAGATTTTATTCTTTCTATATATTACATAAAATTTTCATCTTCCATTTAATATATAGTGATATGTCTCAATGCTAATTACTCAAAATCCCTAACTAATTCTTAAAATAGATTTACAAAAAGATTTTTGTATTCAATTTAATCTTCAACTTCATAACTTTGAATTAGATCAAGATCATCAGTGAAACTTGTAATTTTTTCTAGTAATTTATTTAAGAGATCCTCCTCTTCTATTATTTGGTATTTTTACAATTGTATAATCCCAATCATGCATTTTAAATTACCATTATAGTTTTTGATACTTTAATTAAATTCCTAACCACGTTATTTAACTTATTCTTTTTCTTTTTATAGCTAAATTTTATTTTAATTATTTTATTTTTCGGTCTTGAATTCATCATATTAAATTACTAGTCTTTAAAAATTTTTCAGCTCTTCTTTCATAAGCATCTTAAACATTTTCTATTCTTTCTTTCCAACACATTTCAGCGTTTTAATTATTATTTCTGTTTGGTTGGCTAATCGATTATAATAATCTATTTCCATTTAATCAAAGTATTAATATTTGCTTTAATCTTAGATTTTTATCAATTCAGATAAAAAATTTTCAAATTTATTTTTATACAATTTCGATTCTTCGAAATTCAATATTTCATCCATAATATTGTATTATATTTGTTCATAGACAAACCTTCAACAAGTTCTTACACAATTTAGGAAGGAGTTTTCTTAATGAATTATTCTAATTCCTCCTCAATTAATCTTAAATCTATTTCTTCCAAAGAAATCTTTTATTTTTCTATTAATAAACAAAATTGAAGGTATTCTATTAATCCTTTCTACTTTGATAACTTATTTTAATAATCATATTCTGTAAAATATATTCCATTTAATTAAGAGGCTGTAAATTAAAAAATATCGCTCTTAGAGCAAAATATTCTTTTTGGATAATCTTTAATTATTCTTTTTAAAAAAAAATTTTATTATTTCTAAATAACTTTTTTCCAAATTATCTCCTATTTGAACAAATGGGTTTGAGGCCTTCTAAATTATTGTATATATTTTTTTAATCTCTCAATCTCTTTAGAATTTTTAGGTTTTAAAAAAGAGTCAATATCATACTTGATTTGAAAAATTTCCATTATAAATCTCATGGATTCATTATTATCACTTTCCAATACTTAGTTCAATTCTTCGTATTCTATAAAAAGATTATTCAACTAAATCTCAAACAATTAATTAAGGTTGTAATTATTAGATTTGTAAAGGTTAGAAATTTATTCCTTTTCTAATAAATCTAATGGTTTCCATTAATTTTCAATCAACTTAAGGATAGGAGTTGTAAATAAATAGTTTTTTTAAATTAAATCTAATTAATAACAAAGTTAATTTCAGAAATCTCAGATCTCCAAGAGCCTAGTTGTTTTTTAATTCAAGTTTCTATAATTCCCTTATAATTTCCGTCATTTCATCCGTTGAATCATTCTACTCCTCATTTAAACCTTTAATTTATTACTATAATATTGATTCTATTACTTTCATCCAATATTTTAGTTATTATACTTTTTCGAATGTATTAATCATTTCCTATAAAAATTATTCTATCATAGATTTTTTTTTCTTTGATTTAATTCTAATTAGTTTAATGATATTCTGATTGTTTTGGATATATATTTTAAAGTTGAGAATGATTTGATTTATTTATGAATTGTACATGATTTTTTTATATCCTCTGATCTGCATTTGTATTGTTTTCAATACAATTTCTATATGTTTCAAATACTTCTCCCAATTTCTCATAATTTTCTTTAATTAAAAGAAGTAATTTATTTGAAATTAGTAAATCAAAAAATTTTTAGATTAAGTTAATTGATAGAATAATTTTATTTTTTTAAGATTAAATATTGTTTACTATTAAATTATTTGTTAGATATGATCTAAAGGTGAAATGTATATTTAGATTTTGTTCATTTTGTAAGAAATCTTTAAGCAATATGAAGTGTTTCCATCCTTTGAAACAGTCTTCTAACATTATTCTATCAAATTAATTTAATGATTTATTTTTAAATTAGTTAATTTAAATGACAGCTTAGTCATTGTTATGGATTATTTAATTTAGTAATCCTTTTTTCTAATATTCCTTCCAAATTTATCTAGGGTTTTTTTCAATATGGTATTGGGCAACCAGCCGAAATAAATTTTGTATCTTTATAAGAGGATTATATACTAAGATTTTCCCGATCATTTAAATCCACAAGAAATGATTCTCCCAATTATTTGAATTTTTCACCAGATTTTCATGTATATCCTAAATTTATAAAAGTATTTCTTTTAAATTTTTTTATTTTTCATTTTTAAAATAACGAATTGTCTCCCATTATAACATACCAAAAAAATAATAAACAATATATTACTTTCTATTGTTCTAAACTGAATTCATTTAGTTAAATTTACAGGTTCCGTATTATAATGATTCAAGTAATTAACTAGGTTTCATTTTTATAGAACACACTATCCCATCTAAAAATCCTTTTAAAATATCTTCCTTTTCTTTAGAATTATTTGGAGCTATCTCAAAAGAAGTTTTAGTTAAGAAAAGATAAAGTTTCATTTAATGAATCAAATCATTTTATTTCATTTTTTCCATTTATTATTCTAATTCATCAGAAATATCCAGAAATTCTTATTATAAAGATAATCTACAAAATCTCCCTTCATTCATAATATGAAAGCTAAATATCATTTTAGATAGCAAGGCTGTAGTCTATAAGATGTATAAACATATAAACTAATCACTTCTGAGTAGATCAAGCAGCTTTTCAATAACCCCCGGATTCCCCCTAATATTAAGTCGTATGTTTTCACGAAATTTTCAGTATTCTTGCTGAGTTAGTAAAAATATTCCTCTTAAAACATAAACCATTGAATGCTTATCATTATTTCTTAAGATTCTTATGGATTCGCAGCAACAGTAGCTTTTGAGATAATTTTTTCAACATGGAAAATGAATAGAGTGAAGAAATCCCCTACTCTTTAAATTTTTGAAGCTGCACAACCGCCTCCACGCAATATTTACGTTGCTTTACTCATTAATAATTTAAATAATAAATCCACACCGGTATCAAAATATAAAAAGGGAAATAATTTTAGGAATCCAAGAAATTCTTAAAATATATGGGTTGTTTGAATTTTCCGAGTGAACCTTTTATCAATGGGTACTGATGTGACTTGAGCCCAAAAATTTTAAGCCCCTGTCTTCTTTCTTGAGGCCCACTTCAACACTTCAAGAACAATTTTCCTGCGTGCTTCTGCTTCATATAAGTGCTTCAACTGACATTAACTGACATTGGATTTCATGTGTGTAATATAACATAATTTTGAAATCATCTTGAAAGGAAATCATAAATTTTGAGTTTTTTGAAACAGAAGCAAAGGTAACCATTTTTTTTCGCTAAAAATAACATTATTGAAATTGACAATCATTTGCAATGGAATCAATTTTCTAGAACAAACTTCCTTAAACTTATAGCTTGCGCAAAGAAATCTTCAATATGCATTTGAAACCAAAACTCCAGAATAAAATGCCATATTTTTTAGAAAATTATTCATTTTCAATCAATAAAACATTTGAAATATTCAAACACTTTATTAACTTTTATTGGCCAAACCATATAATAGAGTTTAATTTTATTGATAATTATTAATCAATTTTAAAATACAGTTAATTTATTAAGGTAATAGATAAGGAATCAATCTGGGGACATATTTAATTGTGTGAATAATGCAAGTAATTAATATTACATTAATTTTTTAAGGTTTTAAGTGATATAATACTTGCTGAACAATGTATATTAAAACTGGATACTATGATTATGATTTAATTTTAATATTATTGTTGTAAATGAATGATTGTCGAACTTGTAATCGTAATAGAAGATATCTAGATTTGTTAAATATTTTTAATTGTCCTTCCAAAGAATTGATAGGAGAGAATATAATCATGATGATAGTATTTGTGAATATGGAGTACCTTAGTATTCAATAGGATTAAGGATCTAAGTATAAAAAATAGAGGTAATTGTGAATTACTAAATGATGACGAGTTTTAAAAATTGGAGGTAGGAAATACTTTTTGCAATATTGGAGTGTTGTTAAATGTAGAAAGTTTATAGGACTACAACCCAATAAATTATGTAATCAAGTGAAGTATTTAATAACTGAAGCAAGACTTATTACTATGAAATTATATTCTATTGAATCATAAGGATAGCTCAAATGTTCAAGGGAAAATTCCAGCACTTTTAATATAAAGAAAATTTTCGTCTAAGTTTTATAAGAGTTTTAATAATATTGATTTAAACACATGTTCATTCACCTCTTAAACATTCAGTTCAAAGTTTTAAATTTAAATAACTGCCTATTTCTTTAACTGTTGGGTTAAAGAAACTTCAATAAATAATGTCCAAGAGAGTCAACCTGAATCAAGATATCAAAGATTTTTTATCCTTACTAATTATCAAGATAGTTCTTTCTATGGAGATGTAATCTATGCGAAATTACATGTAGTTAGAATATTTAGATTCTATTTCACATCAATTACATTACATATTTCTACGATATTTTCTATTTTTATAATGATATATACTCTCTTGAAATTTAACATTGTAATTAATTTCTTTAGCACTTTTGATTTTCAAGAACTTTAAGGATAGATCAGATGCTTACCTAATTTATATTTCTTTAAACTGGCAGCATTACCTGGAACAATTTCCTTAGAAATAAGGGAATAAGCAAATTTAATAGATTTTTTAGCTTCACTTAGTTTCCGTCAATTTAGATAAATTGAGGCACTATTTCTTGATTTCTTGACAAAGACTTTTATTGCAAACCCCATCACTATTGAATTAAAACTTATACTATTTTAATTTTTTCTATCTATATAATCAAATTATTATTACTGTAATATTCAAAAAAGATTATACCTTTCCAATCTTAAAATATCATCTAATTCAAATTACAATCAACAGGCTGTTTTATCGCATGATCTTTCATATAGAAGAAAGGGTTTTAGCGATTAAATATTTATTTTCTTAAACAGTCATCAACCTACATAATCCAGGTCTGCTATATCTATTTGATAGAATCAGGAAGATTGGAGGTTAACAAACTGATTTATTTATAACCTTTTATTCTAATTTTTTTTAAGAAAAAATTTGTGAAATAGAACCAGATAGCTTAGCCGACAACTTAAAAGGAAGACAGACGTAGTGGTTTTAGTTTGGAGAAGCAACCTTTTTTTTCTATTTAAAACTAGAAAATGCAGAATAGTTTAATTTATGGTTTCATTTTCTGATTTACAATAATTTCTATCCTAGAATCTAACTGAAAAATGATACTTATTTTTGTCCAGGTTGTTGAAATTTTTTTCTTTTTAACCCATTTTTTAATAAAAATTCAATACAGAATACCAAAACTACCGTCATCTTACTTCTAAGTTACTGATATTTAAAATGGCAAAATATTCCTTTCTTTATAAACATTATGCCTGCTTATCAAAGTCATATTAGTAGAAAATAAGAGTAAAAGCACATATTTTAAGCGAATTCTATAATTAATTTATTTTTTTAAATCTTTAATTATAAAACTTGTATTTTATATATATTACTAATGCTAAATTTTTCTATTGTTCCAGAAAATTAAATAAAATACGTGGTCATTAATGCGCCAGTGTTATAAGTAGGAAATGAATCATTTGGTACATATTTAGTATTTCTATTAAAAAAAACCATTGCTTAGTTTAACAAAAGGGCTCATTTAATTATATTCTTTACTTTTGTAGTGTTATACAAAATTTTCAAATTTTATTGATGCTCACATTTAAATACTTTGGTGACTCTAATATATAAATATTGAGTGAGTTGATACCTAGAACATTACTTGTTATAATAAACTGAAAGATAGCCAAATCTATTAACCTTATTATGTTCAAGTTATTAATTGCCGTCCTGTTTGTTCACCTCACCCTGTTTTAATCAATTCTACCATTATGATTGGTATTATTGACTACTGAGTCTACTTCAGGAGAATATATATTATTGCTCATTTCTTCTTGTTTTAAAGCGTTACCTGGAGTTTTCTTTAAAAATTTTATTTTGATTTCTAAATTTTTAGTTAATAAAAGCTTTTATATTAATAAGTCTGCTATTTTATTTTTAAGTCTTATACTTCGTTCAAAAAATGGCCAACAAAGATTTTGAGCTTTTTTATAAGCTTGCCGTTCAAATAAACACTCATCTAAAATTTTGCAACTTTGATCCTATTTTATTAAGATCAAAAACTTATTTTGAATTTTGCCTTTCATTTATGTTAGCATCATAGTTTGTACTTTTATCTGATTTAATAATTGAATAATGTAAGTGAAAAATAAAAATAAAACAAAATTTGCTTTATTTATCCACTTAAAATGGTAATAAATAATTTAAGAAGTACCAAAAAATGATTTTTAAATTTTAGAGAATTTAAATTGATGAAATTATTTTTTAAAATATTAAATTTAAGAGTTCGTCTTGAATATTTTAGTAGACAAAATTATAATAATTACTTTTTTCTTACTTTATGTGGGAAAAGATGTTTAACTTTTAAGTAGTCACAAAAGAGAGAGAATAAATTCAATAAAAACATTACTACCATAAATTAATTTCAATTTCTCTGGAAGACAAAATAATTACAAAGAGATGATGGATCATTATTAATACAGAGAGAATCGATATTTTGGAACCAATCGCAGCATTTGTTAGAATGAAATTAGATAAAATCTATTAGAAGATCTAAAGATTAAGGTTATTCGCAGATAATTGATAATTATAAAAATACTAGTAGAGAATTTGCAAATTATATAAATAATTAATAGAATTACATTAACTTTATATTTTGTTTATTAATTCCTTTTATTATCAATAATTAAAAATTTTAAATATATAGAAAAATGGCATAATAAATAGAGATTATAAAGGAAGGATATTAAAAAAATATGGAAAAGTATTTAGAAAACATAT